ATATTACTTAATCATATGATTTATGGTTTGAAAAATAAAGGAAGTCATCACCATTTTTTTTATTTTAATTTTTTTTAATTTTTTTTATTTTTTCATTAAATGGCCCATAAATAAATGACTATTCTTTTACACTTTATTCTTTTGTATGCTGTATTAAAACAGCTACACAGCCATTAAACCATTACATATTCTGACTGATTACCCCTGTCCTGTTTGTTTAAGTGCATTCTGTGTAATTGACTTCACTCTGTGATTCAGGGAGGGTTTCTAATGACTGGAGGTTGCACAGCTGCTTTCTAACAGATGGCCCCTCTACTGAAGCCGAAGTACAAAAATATCTTCATGGTTGATGCTGCTTATTGGAAAAGGATATGGGCTTAATATGTGACTATAAATACAGCTGGTTATGCTGTATAAACACCGGGGGAGAGAGAGAGAGTGAGGAGGTGTGAGACTGCATACACAGATGCTAACAGACAGACACTATGTGGGCATCACATTATGGAGAGTATGATGCTAAATGTTTCACTGGCTGTTTACATGCAGTATAGACTCAGGGAATGGCAACATGCCCAGATGGACATGATACCAGGAGATTGCAGTGGGAGGAGAGAGAGATGTTGCACACTTTTAAGCATGTTTGCACACACAAAAGGACATCACATATACAAACTCACTCTTACAAAATAAGTGTTATTGCTGTTGAAATTCCTCATTTCTAAATTAATGTATGCTGTCAATGATGAGAGACAAAGGGGATTAAAAAGTGGAGCTGTAGAAACAAAGTCTGGGCTGTGATGCTGCAGTTTTGTTTTGGAGATGGTTTATAAAGCTGGTCTAGCCACTCAGGCTCCTTTGAAAGCATCTACTGCCACCCTGTGGTCAGATAAGATAGTGAGGAATTTCCTCACCTCAATCTCACTGTAAATGAGTACAGTAAAATGTGTAGAGAAAAAAAGTTTTCAGACTACACATGAAGTTATCATGACTTGTTTCCAGTTCAGTTTAAACTCAAAGATAGTTAACACGCAGTTTGAAAATTTATTGGAAGGTTAAATCATTTCAGAAAGTTAAGATACATTTGTAATAATAATAATAATAATAATAATAATAATAATAATGATGATGATAATAATATTTATTATTATTATTATTATTTATTTATTTATTATTTATTTATCTTTATTATATATTTATTTGGGCAAGTTTCTGATGGCTCTGGTCTTCACACAGTGAATGCCCGTGTTTCAGAGATAGCTGAGTATATATGAACTATAAAGTTGTGAGTAAACTCATTAATGCCACTCATTAGAGCACCAGCCATGATGGTACTGCTCAGCTCTGCCTCTTTAATGAGACAGGATTAAGGATAGGCAATAGTTTTCTGCACACAGGGTCAAGTCTTCCATATAAGTCAGCTAATGATGAAAGACTCCAAACCAAGCACTCTACTTGGTGTAGTGGTACCCAGAAATAGTGAGCTTCTTGAGTGATGTTAGGTGCTAAGGACATTCTTGGTAAAGTGTACACTTAAACCAAGATGATTTCTTGAGTCAGATTGTCTAAAAACAGTTACATTAAGAGGCAGAGTTGACCCTATCTGCAGAAAACATTCCCAGCAGACTGAGTGTCCTGAATCTACCAGCAGTTTCTTGATAAAGGAGCCAGCATACATTGGAGCTAGTGCACCTACACTTGTGACATGTTAGTCATAAAAACCCAGTCCCACTGTAAGGTATTGAAATATCCCTTTGACTTTAGCTCTTAAGCCGTGTTCAGACCAAACGCGACTTCGGGGACTTGAGTAACGACTTCCAATGCAAAGTCTATGAACAGCTGCGACCTGACGCGACTTGGCGACCGCCGGCTGCCGGCGACACTACGTGAGGTCACGTCGCCCGAGATCGCAGGACGCCAAGTCACGTCGCTCCCAAAGTTCAAATATTTGAACTTTGGGAGTGACTTTCCGCGACTCTGTGCCGCAACAGCCAATCAGGGCTCTGCTGACATCAACAAACCGGCGAAGGAGGAGGAGAAGAAGAATCACAATGGAGGAGCAGTTTATCACTGCCGTGAGTTGTCACCCGGTCTTTTACGACGTGGGGTGCCTGTCTATCAGGACCGCACCTCCAAGGAGGAAGCATGGGCGAAGGTGGCCAATGATGTCGGGCTTTCTGTTAAGTTTGTTTGTTTATTTATTTCAGTGACCAGACTATTTTTCTGAAAACATAGCAAACTGCCCCTGCTTGCTAGGCTACATGTTTCAACGTGTGTGTGTGTGTGTGTGTGTGTGTGTGTGTGTGTCTTTGCAGTGGATGTGTGCCGCAAGTGCTGGAAGGGGCTGCGGGATGTATATATGAGAGATTAAAGGAGGGAGAAGGAAGGTGGGAGAAGCGGGTCAGCGGCGACCAGCCGCATCCTGCGACCTCCGCGACTGCAGCTTTGGACCCGGTGTGAACACACCAGGGCGTGACGCGACGGGAATTCAGCGACCAATGCGACTAGGTCGCTTCAGGTCGCGTTTGGCCCGAACGCAGCTTTAGTTGGATGTCAACATTTGTGCAAGTGTGTGTTTCTTTTAGGACAAAAAAGAAAGTGCATCAGAGTTAGTGTGTACGAGGGAGCTCATGAGCTTTGTAAAGAGATTGGACAGGAACCACAATTTGCACCAAACATTGGCATCACATTGCCTGACTAGAACTGGCGTTTAATTGTGTCTTTACATTGACCTTACATGTAAATCACCCACACAAATACTTAGAGTCACATCTTGTGTAAACAAAATAAAGCTACCTTAACTGCACAGTCTAAAGCTGATGAGGCAAAATAGATTTAAATATATCTGACCACATTTCACCAGTTAGGCAGCACACAATCTGGGCACCAAGTGTTACTGTAGATGTGTTAGGGGTGAAATAAACAAAAGCAATGAGAGCATCATCTCTCATTTCCATTAAGAGCTAGGTGCATCATAACTCTGTGCTGCTGTTTAGAAAATGGATCCAGTCAACTGACATGAAGAATGGTTCTCTCCAGGCCTTCGACTGTGAGACTGATGAATGTAAGCACATAAATTATGGGAGCTGTAGAAACTCACTCTCTGCTGAGAGAAATAATAATATAAGTGGGGATAGGGGAAGGACCATCAAGACCAGCAACTGATGATATGACCGTTCAGGATATAACTCGATCCCAGGAACATTGTGGATGTTGGTCTGACAAGGGTGAGAATTTAAGGTATCGTTATAACCTTGCTTAGTGATGTAAGGTGTTTTTGATGAACCAACTACTTCACAACAAACCGAGGGACTGCATTCTTCCACAGAACAATCAGATGCAACAAATGGACCCAGTCCTTATAATGAGGGGGTAACTGTGGAGCGGGAAGTAATCTGAAGCCAGAGCCCCGCCAAGAAGGATCGTTATAGCGGAGCGCCCACTCTTTCAAGTCCAGTGCTGAGTCTGACTATTGGAGAGAGAACGTGATGGACCCCTGCAGAGTATATTAAAGTAATAAAGCCTAAAGCAGGGAAGCAGGGACAATGCTGCACGACCCTGATTGTCTGATCTCCATATGTTATAGGTACCAGATTTACCCGTATATAATAAAATATCGTGCTTTACAAGTGCTGCTGTTATTTTCTGCATCAGCTAAAAAAAACTGTAAATGAGTACAGTAAAATGTGTAGAGAAAAACACTTATACACTAATAATAGGTACATCCTGGAGTCTTGACTGAGTCAAACACACACACACGCACACTTGTTTGTGTTTGTGTTGTGTGTGCGTGTGTGTGTTTGAATCAGTCAAGACTCCAGGATGCACCTTGTCCTTGGAATACAGATATTAGGTTGACCTATTACACACTAAAGCTCTGTGGTATCCATGGAAACATAGTCATTCACCTCTGAAGTGATCCAGCGTGCTAAAATTTATTTGTGTGTGCATGTGTGTGAGACAATTTATTTCAATGTAGAACAATTCCTCATGGATTTATGTATTTTCTATACCCATCAATAAATATTCAAAAACCTGTAATGTTACATGAAAATATTGCTTTTACTGGCCATTTTTTAATTATTTTTCCTCAGAGATGACTTGGCTTTAATCACTTAAATATTGGAGTGGTTATATTTTAACTAACAGCAGACTGTCCAGAAGATTTCATGGATCTCTTGCTGCCATAGAAACCAGTTCTAAATATTGCTGTCACAGGCCTTTCAGGGGGACTGGCATCTCCCACCAACCATAGACAGCAGAGATGTTAAGAGACAATTTTGGGGCTCTATTTCAGGCACCATTAAGCAGACTTCAGAGGGCCAGCTTCCTGTGAATGTGGCTTGGTTGAAACACCCTGAGGTGCTCGCAGATGACGATGGCCACCCACTCACTGGGTCATCATAGTACATTTCCTTGAATGATGTGTTCAAGCAAAGCTCTGGCAAGAAGAGGGTCTTTTCAGAAGTATGGAGCTTGTGCCTAAGCTGTGTGGACCAATTACATTTAGATGTGATGGAAAATAATCATGGTAGCATTGAAGCACACTTAAACCAATATATCTGTTTATGTATTTCACAATGCAGACAATATCAAACTATAAAACTAAGTAACAATGAAGCAATGCTGTGCCATCAAATGTGGCAGTAAAATTAAATGATGAAGTAAAGGTGTGCTCTTTATACCACTGACATGTCCATTTAGTGTGTTTGAGTGTTGTAGTACTCTACATCAGTCTACTTTTTTAAAGGTCTAGGTCTTGTCCCAGAAATGAAATCATTTTCACTTTGTCTTGTATTGGTCACTATGGAAGACTAAAAGTGCCAATATTACATAAATAAATACATCATTAAATAATTACTTAAATGTACTATTAAATAATTAAAAGTGTCAATAAATAAATAAATGTATCACTAAAAGTGTCAATAATTAATTATAAGTATCAATAAATGAAAGTGTCAATAATTAATTAAAAGTGTCAATAAATAATTAAAATACCATTCCATGAAAATACATTCATTTTATGATCAGGTGTTGCAGTGCATCATGAAATAATTTCATCTGTCAAACTCACCCGTCAAAGTGAGTGGGCGGGGGTAACGAATCCAGTCTGATCTGTTACTTTGGTCTGAAGTAGCTGGGAGAGGGACATGGAGGACCTTCCGAGGGAATTGGTGAGAGGGATTTTACAGTTACTAGAGGATGTGGAAGCAGGACCTGCTGACCCAGAGCAAGTTGCTGATAAAATTGAAGAATTTATCGAGGCTTTGGGCCTATTTCCTGCGCTTGCTAACCAAGATATAGACACCAAAGTGACAGAAAATTTAGAGGAAGTACTTCGCCGCTTGTCTCATAGGACACAACAAGCCCCACAGACACAAGGACCAGGGCGTTTGGCATTTGACATACCGATTGCAGTTCTTAAACACCACGTTCTTTGTGGATTGTCAGCCAGTCAAATTGCAATAATGTTCGGCGTGTCAAAGAGGACCATCAGCAGGTGCATCAAACAACATGCTTTAAGGTATTGACATTAAATCAATTATTCGTCAGTTAATGAATTGCTTAATTGTCTCATCCACGCAGAAAGGATATTAAAGGTAAAATTATTCTTTTTTTCTGCTTGTACAGAAAGACAGACCTCTATTCAACAATCACTAATGAGGAGTTAGACTGTATCGTAACTGAGCTTCACAGAAGACATCCAAACACCAAACACCAGTCCTCCCAATTACCTAAGACAAGGACCCAACAAATATTACAGCACCTCAACCTAAATTTCAACACTTCTAGGCATGAGAAATGCTGTGGTTAAACCATAAACAACAGACTATTTCTATACACTGTGCATTAAATGCTGGTTTTGAAAAACTTAAACATGACCATGGGCAAAGCAAAAATTTCACAACTAAATTTAGATGAAAAAAGTCCCTCTCTCTCCCTCTCTCTCTCTCTCTCTCTCTCCTGTTCTCTCAGAAATTTGCTTGACCATTTTATTCCTGCCAGTATTAGCTTTGAATTGTGCCACTTAAGTTAACCTGCAGGTATTCACTGCGTGGAGGAGAAGTTTGTTATGTAGCCATCTCTGATTTGTTTTGGTGACTGCAGGGAGATCCCAAGATATGGCAAGATCTGAAACTGTCTCCTTAAGTTCTTCATGTTCAAGCTTGAAACAAGACCATACAAGTTATTACATTTTCCCGAATATTTTTTGCAAAAGTTTTTTGTGGTACATACCAGTTTTATGATACTCCTGATGTGCAGATCAGGGCAGTCTTCTGTAACAACAGTTGCTGTTTCAGGGTCCCCATTGAACAGTACATAAATGACAGGAGAACTGCGACATGGGGACCATCATGTAGAAAGCTGTGGGCCAGCATCCCTCCTGCAACCTGGAAGAGGTTGCTTTCAATAAGCACCTCTGATGCTGCTGGAACAAGATGGTCAGGTTCACCCTCAAATCGCTGTGTTCGGCCCATTCCTCCTTTAAGTACCAAAAGAGCAGGTAGTAAAGTCAAAACAATTAACTACCAGAATTTTTTTAAAATGACATTGAATTAACCTTAGAAATTTAAGAGACTCACCAAGATCTAGACTGAACCCAAACTGAAGTTTGGATATTGTTGTTGTCATAAAGTACCACATCACTCCCTTACTGATTGCATCATCACCTGAAATAAAACACTGATAATAACACTGGGAAAATCATAGCTGATTAATTCAGACTTGATTAGGTAATATTTAACAAGCAAGGGAAAAAATCGTCAATATTCTATTGCTGCCATTCTACAATAGCATCCTAAAGAATATTGTGCATGGAAGATTTGCTTTAGTGGTCATGAATTATATCATTTTTTTGGATCCCATTTTTCATTTAACAAGTCCATATAATACTCTTGAGTGGCATAAACTTTAATATTCTCTCTGTCCCCCTTGGGCAGAGTTATTTGCAGCAACTTCAGGAATAATATAGTGCATATTATACTGTCACAAAATGGAGCAACAGTCAGACAATAAATGTAAACAAATACAAGTGCAGAACATTTCACCAAACTATCATGGGTGATGGCTTAGGAACACAAAGGCCTGGAGCTGTGATTCTCACACAAAAAATATACAGCTTTGCTGCTGGCGTCGGAGGATTTTGTCGGAGAAAGTGCTCCATTTCGAGTGTCGCTCCATTTCAGCTCTGGCTTTTTAATGTTAAAAAAAAATGCCAGTAAGCTTTGTTCTGATTATGTATCAAGTTGAGTGTCAAGTGTTAATTGAGTGTTCATTTATGTACACAATTTAAGGGTAGATGCTGTTGAAGTGGACATATGTAGATTGTAGCCTGTCCAATCATCGTCGATGGATCTTCTAGATAGGCAAGGGTGTATCCAGTGCTGGGACACTGAAGCAACCCGAGATTTCAACTGTGAGTAGATCCCACAATTTTGAGAAGTTCAAACCTCCCCCTTTTTGGAGTTTCGGAAATACTTCCATCAGTTTATCTGTTATAACTTTGGGATCATCATCATTCCCTGGAGAAAATAAAGAAGAAGTCATAACTTATCTGACTCACATCAAACTGAGCAAATAAGCCTGGGATAACTATTTTAACGCTATGAAAACCCAATAAATAAAATACCTATTAGCATTTAATAACGATTATTATTTAGTGTTTATTTTGTTACCATTAAAGCAAGTCCAGTGATGGAATTCAAAACTACATATCAGCTAAAATACGGTAGGCCTACTTGTGTACAGCCACAGCTTTACAAGTTCTGCAGAATTACTAGCAGAGTCAAGATGTTTGTAATGTAAGTTTAAAAAAAGGCATTTATCACTGATGTGACCGGGTTAGATGAACAAAAAGAAAAAAAAAAGGTTTTAAGTGTGACATAAAAGAGGATAGAATACTAGATCATTGGTATGAAGTGGTTCAAAAAGACATATATCAGTGCATGAAATTGACCAAAATGCAGGCCAAGAATATTTGGAGCACTAAATTTCCCAAGGAAGACCCCCAAACTCTTCTGATGGTGTAAACTGTAAAACAAGAACTTAAGTATTAAATCGTGCTATTCCAATTATTTTTACCGGTTTATATCAATTCAAGTTGTAGAATAATCTTTTGTGCAATTCAGGGAATTCATGTATTTTTTAAAACATTTTTGAAATGAGGAAACAGAAGAGATAACCCTTGTATTTTGTTTACTGTCATGATGAGTGTTTTGTTGTCTGATAAGGTCTTTGTTGAATTAGTCTGACTGAAACTGGACTTAAAATACATGTAGACACTTTAGCCTGACAACAGGCTGTTGTATAAGGCCTGGTCATGAAAAAAAAATGCAACAGGAGGATTAAGGGGTTTAAAAAGGACAGCGCTATTGTGCCATTAAAATAAATTTGTTTGTGTGTTTTTCATTTGAAAACAAAAACTAACAAAAAAAGTGGAGTTGGATTCATTCCTCTCTTATTAAGTGAACCTTTGCAGTCAACATAAGTAGTCACTCATCTTCCTCCTCCAGCTTTACCTTAGGTGTACCTCAGGGCTCAGCTTTGGGTCCAATTTTATTTACTTTTTGTATGCTGCTTCTTGGCCAAATAATTCAGAGCCACAATGTCTCATTTTATTGCTATGCATCTGACACACACCTCCCCAGACCCTGGAGACCCAGCTGCTGTTAAAAACTGAAAATTGTCTCACTAATTCTAAAAGATCACATTAACCCTGTTTTAACCTTCCAACACTGCCTCCCTAAGTTCCAGAATCGATTTTAATCGAATCAATTCTCTCAAGTCTAGCTCCAAGCTAAATATCTGAAATGTTGACCACCTTATCCTTCAAGAGTAGCCTTAGATCCTCAGGCAGGGACCTCCTGGCTGTTTCCAAAGTGGAAACTCAAAAATAAAGGTGTGGAGAATACATGGAAGAGAAAATAAATCCCTAGCAGCAGTAACTAGTTATCATAGTCAAACAATGGGAGATTTGATTAAGCGCAATAACCTAGTCATTGTGATTATTATTGCCACAACAATCATGAGGTAAAAATCTGATATTGTGACAGCTCTTTCTAAAATTCAATCCACAACATACAGACTGACATCCAACAGTAATTAAATGATCATTATTGTTAAGTAATTAAATAAAAGACCAGGAGAAGACCGTAAACTTTCATCATTTGCTGATGAAACAGCCAGTTAAGGCTTAAACATACAGGCATATCTGGAGCGTGGCAGCAGCGTTGCATATCAAGCCGTAAATAGGTTGCCATTCTAATCAATGGCAACCTAAAGCCCTGTTTCCACTGCTAACCCCTGCTAATTTTGAGGGAACCTTTGTCACCCTCATCACTTGTTTCATTCCCCTGTATCAATCCTTCAGGCTCCACCTTTTTAGTATCTCCGCATTTCTTCCTACCCTGATATAAGGCACTGATTGATTTGGCTCATGAGCATCACATTTAAGGATTTATAAAGGATGCATAAGACCGTGAATTTCTTGGGCGGCTAAAGTTGCTATTGCAAAAGCTGTACCATTGAAATGAGTCTACTGTTCAGACATGAGATTCCACAGCGGCAAGAAAAGCCAAGCTAATTACATTTGTCACCCAATGTCATACTGTTGACACTACCTGTGAATTAACTGAATTAAAATTTGTAATGCAGGTTGGTTTCAAATCATGTAAGAAATCTCACACTCTCTACTCCACTAGAATAAACCATCAACCAGAATTATTTAAAATCCATGAGTTTCTGCAGCCTCAGCATAAGGTAGTAGAGAAACCCCTAAGCCCCTCCTGAGAACTCAAGTAAATGCAAAAACATTCTGAGACACATGATGGCACTGTTGCCCAAGGATTGACGATCTGAAACACACTGCACCAAGACAGAACAAGATGTAATATCCCTCCTTCCAGCTGTCAGGTTGTCCATCATGTGCTGGATCCTGATCCCTCCCCCTTCTTTTCTTTCCTAGTGTCACTCTGTTCTTAAGTCAAAGATTCAAAAATGGACCCAGGTGTAGCACATGAAAAACAAACTGCGGTTTCTCATAGAAAAAAAAAAGCAGAATGGTTGGAGGAATGGAGGTTAAGGAAGTCATAGGTGGACTCTGTGCAAGGTTTTTCCTCAACAGAGTTTAGTGATGCCTAAAAAAAAGCAGGGACATGGATGGCAGTTCTGATGTATGAATGGATGGTTGGATGGTGGGGTGGGGTACTTGTGTGTCAAAGCTTCATCTAAAAAGTGTCATGGAAAAAGTAAGATATAGATTGGTGTGTGAGGGTGTGGAGAAGGTGGAGGAGGGGTGGGTGCTTCACTTTGCAGAATGTCACAGCTCCTGTAAGTATTAGTCAGAGTGAGCCATGCTGTCTGCCACCTTCTCTCTCTTTTCTTAATGTCTGTGGCTTTCATCTTCTGCTTTTAGGCTGTCTGTTTTCTCTGGCACACTCTCTCCTGAAAATACCCCCCCCCCCTTCTGTGTGTCTCTCATTTGATGGATTGTTGTAGTTTCCCAAGGATTTCACCACATATAAGGTTCCGCCTCAGGCTACACCTTGGATAGACACATTTCCAAGACACTGCCAGTCAAAGGTCACAAATTTCAATTAATTTTCTTTCAGGAAAATAAAACAGGTTGCATACTGCCAGAAGAGTACTACACTTCTTTGTCTAGTAAGAGCGTAGAAATAACACCAGTCTCTTCTTTACTAGTGTGAAGTTCACAACTCTTCTTTTGTAAAGGTCTCTTTCTGCAGCCTGTGCTAATGGACTCAGGAGAGTTGTATAATACGTATAATCCTGGACCATTTTCACCAAAGGTTTTGCAGATCCAAACTGGTTTGCTTGACGAGCAGGGGGTCGAAGACCTGCAGATGCATAGACTGGACACATGAGCTTGGTAATTCGGTGTGATACTAAAAATGCAGAACTCCTGATAAAAAAAATAAGAACTGCAGATGAAGCCTTTGCATCTTCTTCATCACAGTATGATGCATGTTTTCTAATCATTTCTTCTGAGGCTGGTTCATTTCTTTTGATTTCATTGCAGTTGTTGCAGTCATGTGAACTGTTTTGGACCATGTACCTACCTGAATCAAGTTAAACTGTTACAGCCAGTCACATTACCCACCCTACAAAAGACTGTCTTTAGACCTTTTCTCTTTGTTCATTCAACAAAGTGATAAACAGTTTTCCACCTCAGTGAAAAAGCCATCAATCCTTTTCTGTCTTCAAAGAAAATAAAAGAAATCTAGAAACAGAAGACAGTCAGCTCAGGCTCCATAAGTGCATTGATCTCTTAAACGCTCCAACTGATGATCAACATTTGTGATCCAGGGGGTCGGGCTCTGACGAGCACCACGTCTCTGACACCGACGGTAACCTACACCTGCAGAGACACCAACGCCTTGTTATGGCATATGGATTCATATCATAAACTACAGCCCAATGTCAGTCACGGCTACTTGCACAGCTGAATTGACAGATCTATCCTCTGATCCACTGATCTTTCCTCCAAGTCCATCTGTTTTTTTTTTTTTCTGTGGAAAAGACGCATTTCTTATACGTTCTTTTTTAAGGTCCTTATACTTATGACAATGTAATGCT